GGAACACATATGCAGGTGGAGTGAGCAATAGGGGAAGGGGAAGGAGAAGATGCTGGAGGGCAACACAGAGCCAGAACTTGGAGGAATTTGCTCCTAAAGTCTGTGAAGCCCTGCCCCTTGTCACTCCTAAACCTCCTTTGTTCCTGCACGAATGAAGAAAGCATCATTCAGTGGTCACACCCCTGAGCTCCGGGATCAGATGCTGCCTTGCCCAGTGCTTTGTATTCAAGATGGCAGCTCCGTGCCATCAAGCCTTCCAGCCAAAAGAGCCTCCTCCGTCCCTTCCCCCACTCCACTGATCCGGATCCCCTAGACTTCCACTTTCCCCCATTTTTCTCTGTGCACTTCTGGCCTTTCATTTCTGACCAAACTTCAGATGACGGGAACACTGATAAATTAATGATCGTAATTAATAAAAATTGACTCTGTGCTAATAAATTATTATGAAATGGCCTGTCAGGTTTTTTAATGAAATGCAAAAAGCTGCAGTAATGAAATGAGTGTGTGCACTTTCCCAGCCAAGACGTGAGGAAATACATCCACGGGGTGCTCAGGGGTCTACGAAGAAAGAATCTGGAGAAGGAAAACAGAGCTGGATCAATGCGTTTGGAGGAGCGACTGCTGTGTAAGTACCTCCTGCGTTAGACACTTAGCCTGTGTTATTTTATATTATCAGCTCATGAGGTAGATACTGTTATTACCTCTCACTTTTATAGATAAAGAAACTGAGACCCAGAAAGATAAAGAAACAACTCTAGGTCCAGAGCAATTACGCTGCAGATCTATGAACAAACCAGATATTTTGAACTCCAGATCCCCTCCCACGTAGTTAACCACTTCATTATACAGCATTGATTCAAGCTTATTTTGTAGATCCAACCCTGTTTCGTGGATCTGTGATCAAACCAGATATTTGGACTCTATACCCCTTAGCCAACCCACTTAGTTAACCACTTAATTATACATCCTTTTAAAAACTCGCAACTTGAGACTGGGCACAGTGGCTCACACCTGTAATCCCAGCACTCTGGGAGGCTAAGGCTGGCAAATCACCTGAGGTCAAGAGTTTGAGGCCAGACTGGCCAACATGGTGAAACCCTGTTTCTACTAAAAATATGAAAAAAAAAAAAAAAAAAGAGGAGCCGGGCATGGTGGTGCATGGCTGTAATCCCAGCTACTTTGAAGGCTGAGGCAGGAGAATTGCTTGAACCCAGGAGGCAGAGGTTGCCATGAAATGAGATTGTGCCACTGCACTCCAGCCTGGGCAACAGAGTGAGACTCCATCTCAAAAAGAAACAAAAAAATACCTTGGGACTTAGAAGCAAGAGGCATAAGGTCCAAGTCTGATTCAGTCATTTGACATTGTGATTTGGATCAGGTTGCTTAACCTCTCTAAGCCTCAATTTATCCGTCCTCACAATGGAGATAGCAATACCTCTTTCCCATGGTTTTGTGCATGGACATGTGAGAAAGAAGCAAGATGATGGATGTGAACACATGTGGCCCTAATAATACCCTTCCTCTCCCAAGAGTTTGGCATAAGAAATTCTGTCTGTGAGAAGGTAAAGCATGGCAAGGAAAGGGATTCAATGTCATGGAGAGGAGGCATGGTGGTACCCTCATTTATGCCCCATCCCAGCTCTATGGAGTGTTTAATATTACAAGGTTGTCCCAGTTCTTTGTAAACTATAGCCATGAATGTAAAACAACTGATTTTTACAACAGAATTGTTTAACCCTGCACCAATTAAAAGTACCTGTTATTAAAAAAGGTAATTATGCTGTAATTAGTTTGACACAAGACATTAAGCAGATTATTATCAAAGCCAGGGAAATAGTAACTTCAAAGCAATTTCCTCTCTTGAAAGAGGCATTTACATGCCACCATCGGAACAGGATCCTTACTCCAGGCACTTTTGAATGCAGGGAAATGTGATACCTAACTCTTCCAAGCAGCTTGGAGCTTTATGGCAGGAAATGCTCCCATTGCAAATGAACTTGGTTGGCTGGGCTGCAGAAATTCTTCCCAGGAAACCCACACTCTGGGTCAGGGACTTGGCTAAGCATTATCAGCCTGGCCTGGGCAAATATGGGCAGAGGCTACTGACAAGACCAGGAAGACTAAAGGACCTGCACTCAACACCCATACGTGCGAGCACCATGCTTGGATTTGTCGATATTCTTTCCCGGACTCCCCAAAACCAACCTGTAAGGGAGGAATAATGAGACACCTCTTTGAATAAAAAGACAGAAAACAGGTTTCCAACCACTAGCGTGGCGACAAGGGGGGAAACTGGATGTCCCTATTCCAACTAATGAGAAGAAAACCACTTTCCCTAGCAACAGTGTTATTCAAAATCCATATCAAATCAAGTCTCCTTTTCCCCCAGAGCAATCTTTCAGGGGCTGGATACTTCCAGAAGACTCTGATCCGCTCTCTCACTGTCTCTCTGCATCCCTCCTTCCATGCCCTTTACCCACATTCTCTTCTCTCCCTTTCAGATTCTTGGGTGAGGCTGGATGGGCGCCATCCTTGGAGAACCAGCATTCCCAAGAGCAGCTCAGCCCCAGGGCCCACCCATGTTTCAGGACCAAGGTCAGCGGCACAGGTGCTCTCCTTCCATCGCCATCCTCGGCAATAAAGTCCACCAGTCACCGAGGTCCCGTCTCTTCTCCTCACCAGCTCTGCACACTCTGGATGACTTACGCAACCTCTCTGAGCCTCAGTTTTCTCTCCTGCAAAATGGGATAACGAGGGCATTTAACTTTAAGAGCCATTGTGAAGAATGAGAACTATTGCTATTTTTAACCTGGGTTTTCTGACTGCTGACTAGTGTGTTCCCATGAGCCTATAGAGCTCTGTTCTCTAAAAGACAGAAAGAAAAAATATATACATATAAAAACGAAAGGCAGGCAAAAGGGCGAAAACAGATGGTTCAAGAAGTAAACTAGATCCCTCTTCTCCCAAAGCTATACAAACACTGTCTATTTTATTTAGCCATCAAGATGCAAATTTCCCTTTCTCTGGGTAGGCTTGTAATATTAATTATTATATATGATATTTATGCTTTGCCAAGCACGCACTAAGCATGTTACATAAATTACATCATTCAAAATCTCAACCACTCTGTGAGGAAGGTAATATGTAACATCAACTTCATTCATTTTGCAGATGAGGACATTGAGGCTCAGAGAAGGGAGATAACGTACTTTGCCATCCTAAAGATAAGTGACAGAGCCAGTATCTGGACTCAGATGTCTCTACATCTAGCCTCACCGAAGATGCCTCCCTGCTCTGGCAGATCACATAGTCTAGTGGAGTCTTAGTGTTTAGAAGCTAGCAGTGAGTACCAGATACATAGTAGGTACTCAGGAAATGTGTTCTCTTCATTCTCCTCCTTAGTGCTCAGTTCCCCATGTTTCAATTGAGGGGTTTAGACAGGTCTTCTCTAAGGGCCCATGCAGTCAGTACATGCTGTCAGAAGAGCATCCCAGGACCCAATGCCTGCCCTCTCACTGACTGTCACTCTGAGGCCCCACCTGTGTTCTTAGGGCCCCTATCTGAGCTTCCTGCCTGCCCTCAAAGGCTCTAGAATCTGGGAAGAGCTGCAGGAGCTGATCCCAGCAGTGGGGCTTCTAGCCCATCCTGCTGTTGCCATGACAACAATGCCAGCATCAATCTTCTTCAAGCCCCCTTTCCAGTTCTGCCTCTTCCTGTCTCCTGTCACATCTGTCTCTGCTGGCTGCCCAGCAGTAGGATGTAGGATGAGGGGCCAGGACCAAGCGTGAATGCAGTGATGGGACATACAGAAGAAGCAGGAAGAGAAGAAGGGTCAGGACTGGGATGGATCAGGTTCAGTAGGGGAAAAGGAGGGATCTGAGGTCCCCCACCAACCTCGGAAAATTCCATTTCTTCCACTCTCCCTTTTAATTTCTGAGCACATAATTCACATCAGCCATTGTGCTAAACTTTATACACCCATTGCAGCCACTGAGGTTCAGCTCAAGTATAACCTCCTATGGGAAGTTTTCTATAATTATCGTGCCCTCCTTCACCTACTGGTGAGGTAATACTTCCCACACTTCTTCATTCCTCCTGCATCATAACAAGTATCTTCATCCATTTTGGGTTGTGATAAAGGCTGGGTAATTTATAAAGAAAAGAGTTTTATTTGGATCACAATGCTGGTAGCTGAGAATTTCGACATTGGGCATCTGACGAGGGCCTCAGGCTGCTTCCACTCATGGTAGAAGGCAAAGGGGAGCCGGTGTGTACAGAGACCACATGGAGAGAGAGAAAGCAAGAGAGGTGGAGGGAGGCACCAGGCTTTTTCTCAAAAAGCAGCCCTTGCAGGAACTCGTAGGGTAAGAACTCACTCACTCCCAAGGGAGGGTATCAATCTATTCATGAGGGCTCTTCCTCATGACCCAAACACTTCCCATTAGGCTCGACCTACAACACTGGGGACTAAATTTCAACATGAGGCTTGGAGGGGGCGGACAATATCCAAACGATAGCATCATTTTACTTGAACTAACATCTCGATTCTCATAATGGCCTTATGAGGTAGGTTCTGTGGTTATCCAATGTTGACTGCTAGTATCCCCCGATAAATTATCTGGTGGAGAAACCAAGGCTAATGGTGGCTAAGCCACTTGCTTGTGAGCAAACTGCTTAGCGTCCATTTATTATTTATTTATGTATTTATTTATTTATTGAGATGGAGTCTCGCCCTCTCACCAGGCTTCAGTGCAGTGGCACAATCTCAGCTCACTGCAACCTCCACCTCCCAGGTTCAAGTGATTCTCCTGCCTCAGCCTCCCGAGCAGTTAGAATTACCACATCTGGCTAATTTTTGTATATTTAATACAGTCAGGATTTCACCATGTTGTCCAGGATGGTCTAGAACTCCTGACCTCAAGTGGTCCACCTGCCTATGCCTCCCAAAGTGCTGGGATTACAGGTATGAGCCACCTAGCCACCACTTAAACCCCACTCTATTTGGCTGCAAAACCCAAATCTTTCCACTGCACCAGGAGGACTCCGGGATCAATCCAGCTGAGAGAAACAAAAGATATCAACATGTTTAGCTATTGATTTGCATCATGAATTTGAAGAGGAGTTGACGTGACAAACATCGTGGACTGGATGTCAGCAGGAACCAGTCAGCTGGGTCTGTGGTCTCTGAATGCCTCCTTGGTTTCAGCCATCTTCTCAGGAATGCACGATTGTTTCCTGGAAGAGAGAAGCAAGTGGGTCGGGGTGACTACCCTTAGCTCTGAAGCCTGATAAAACCTTTTCCCAGGGAGTTGGTGCAAGGTACCACGTGTACAGAAAACCTCTCCAAGGGCCTCGAGTGGGATACAAAAGCCCATCCACTCTGAATCCTCACAGGAGGCTCACAGCTGGTAGATGTGATAGGCCATCCCTCCCACACTCATAATATAGACGGAAAAACTTCTTCCAGGGTAGGAACAAGTCCAAGGCCATCTGGCCATTAGAAAGAGACAGAGCCGGCACTTGAACTCAGGTCTGCCAAATTCCTATTTTAGGTCTCTTCTAGCCCCACATTAAAGCAGCCAGAGGACTAAGCCAGGAGGACCAGTGGTCATTCCACTCTGCGACATCAATTAAAAAAAGGTACCATTGGCCAGGGGCTGTGTGAAACACTTGGTGTGTACATTAATTCAATTTTCAATACACTACAAAATAGAAATGGTTATTAAACCCATTTATTAAAGAACTAAGGGCCTGTGTTCATTTTCTACTGCTGCTAAAACAAATTAGCATGTACTAAGTGATTTTAAAATATCAGGAACTTCTTCTATTATAGTTCTGGAGGTCAGAGGTCTGAACTGGGTATCACTGGGCTGCAGTGAAAGTGTCAGCAAGGCTGTTTTCCACGTGGAGACTGTGGGGGAAATCAGTTCTCTTGCCTTTTCCAGCTTCTAGAGGCTGCCCTCATTCCTTAGCTCTTGGCCCCTTCCTCCATCTTCAAAGCCAGCGTGTTCAGGCTGAGTTCTCCAGCTGCCATCTCTGTGGTTCTTTCTCTCTTCTGCCTTCCTCTTCCACATTTGAGGACCCTTGTGGTTCCATTGGGCTTATCCATATAATCCAGGATAATCTCCCCCCATTTTAAGGCCAACTGCTTTGCAGACTTAATTTCATCTGCCATCTTAATACTCCTTTGCCACATAACCTAACATAGTCACAGGTCCACACAGGGCATCTGGGGTGGGTCTCTGATGGAAATAAGTTTTCTGTCCTCCATGGAGTCAGTGAAGATGTTGCTGAGGAAGACGGCATCCAAGCCAGGCCTTGGAGACAGGGTGGGTTGGAGCTTAAAGCCTGCCTCTGTTGGGTGTCGGGGAAAAGCAAATTGTAGGAAATAACCATACCTTTCCCAACTCAGCACATCTCTTGACCTCCCCATGCCATATACGCCTCGCTTCCACCATTCAGAAACTTCTCCTGACCCCAGTACAGCTGGGTTTTTTATGCTTTCTGGCTTTTCATGTGCTGTTCCAGTCTCCATGACTTTCCCATTATTTCGGACTGGGGAGCATTGGTGATTCAGTGGCAGAATTCTTACCACCCATTATTTCAGACTGATTGACTCTGTCTTATCTTCCAGATCTCCTCTGCCATGCAAGTGGGACTCGGCTCCTCTGCCCCATTCTTCCCTTCCTTCTCTCTTCTGAGGTTCCTAGTTACTAACATAGATATTTTAACACACATGGCTCCACTCGGGTAAGAAGTGACACTAGAAATTTCTGGTGTGATTTTAAAAAAGAGAACTTTCTTTACATGTAATCTTCTAGCTAGTATCCACTTTAGACTCAGAAAATGTAAGTTACCTACGGCCTGACAAAGACAAGTACAACCTATTCCTGTCTCAAAATGTTTCTAAAATTAGAGTGAACATTGTGTTAACTGCCACAGTTAAAATCAAAATGATGGATTTCTCTTCCGAAATCAATCCTAAAATGTTTCCTCTTCTGGCAGTCAGAAAACTCATTCACCATTTGTGCTATTATGATCCTTATAATCGCTTTTCAAAATTGCATTGTGACTACGCTTCGCTCCGTAAGGATTAGGGTGGCCTTGGAGAAAAGAGGAGAAATGCTGACCTCACACAGAGATACTTCCTGTCTCAGCTCTGAGACCTTTAGATGCTTCCTGTGAGGTGTGAGCCAATCAGAGCAGAGCTGGGCTGAAACCTCCCAATTGAAGGAGGACTCCCTTAGCAGAGGGACAATGACAGCTCTGATGAAATGACATAGAAAATGTCTAATGTTTTCAGTCATAGGAATGCCAAGGAGACACCTCTAACTGGTGGATGCTTCCATTGAGAGCTGAGTTAAATAAATCTGAGCACTGGAATGCTGTGAATTAAAAAAAAAAAAAAAAAAAAAAAAAAAAAAAAAAAGAATGCCTCTCATTTAACAGCTGAGAAATTCAAATAACCATTAATCCATTTAGATGGTAAATCATTCATCATAGAATGCTCCTCCCTCACCCTGATTTTGAGGTCAGAGTACCTCCCCTTGATACTGGATACATGACTTTGGGCAAATTGCTTCCTCTTTCCAGGCCTCAGTATTCTCCTCCCCAAAAGGGGGAATCCTAGGCCTTGCTGCACCAGGACATTGGGACTAGTCAAGGATATAATATAAGTACAAGACTTGGTGTAAAGAAAGCACCCATGAATGTTTCCTTCTTGGCCAAGGTGTTCATGTCCCGCTCCCATCCCCACTGTGCTCAGCCAGCACTTGGCTCTCTAAGGGCTTAGAGGAACCATGTTAGCATGGGCCAGTCACTAGAAGTTCATGATTGTCCTGCATTTTGCTTTCATCTGTGCTGCCAACCAGCTGGGTGAAGTTGAGAAAATTGTCGAAAACTCTCTGAACATCATTTTTCTATATAACGTGCAAATAAATCCACCTCACCCAGGAGAGCTGTGAGGAGCAAATTATTTAGTGTGTCAAAACATCTTGAGAACCAGCACAGTCTCCATCCTGAAGAAGGAATGAGGGACCAGAAACAAAGTTTTGATGTGCCTTCCAGAAGAACTTAAAAGCGGACAACTCAAAACAGAGCACTCTGAAATTTCTGCAGGAACTCATATCTACTGGTGAGGTTTGGGCTATACACCAGGTGGTGAAAAGGGAATATTTAAGAGTAGGAATTCAGCACCTCTCTTATCATGTGAGGTCTTTGCCCACTGCCTCTTCCCTGTGCTCATCCTGGACCAATCCCCAAGTCAGCTCCAGCTCCTTCTAAAGTTCTCCTTGGACATCAGCACCGTCAACATTGACAGTGAGATTGGTCCCAGCCAAATGCTACACCTAGTCAGCTAGGAGGAAGGAACTTCAAGCGAAACACCAAAGCTTAATTTCTATTCTGCCCCCAGATTCTTAAATTAGCCTGGGGCAGTGGTTCTTAATTAGGGGTGATCTTTACCCTTCGGGGGACATTAAGCAACGTCTGGAGACATTTTTGGTTGTCATCTGACTGGGACATTGCTCCTGGCATCTTCAGGGTAGAATCCAAGGATGCTACTCAATATCTACACTGCACACAATCCACTCCCCGCTACCTGCCACCAACAAAAATTATCCAGCCCAATACATCGATAGTGTCAAGGCAAAGAAATCCTGGTTATGGGTTAGGCTCAGTCATTGGTATGTTTAGAAAGCTCCTCAGGTGATTCTAATGAGAGCCACTGGGTTAATCAAATGCTCAACAATTAGCCTTGGGGAATTAGAGTCTTAGATGAAGCCTCCATAATCAGCCAGCTGTTATTAAATCATCAATAGCTGTAGCCAAATTAAACCCAGAGTTAAGAGTGCTTCAAGCATTGACTTGTCCATTCTTGCAAGGGCAATCAGCCGTCCAGTGTTTTTCCAGGACTAAGGGAGTTCCCAGGAAATAGGAATGTCCTGTTTTAAGACTGGAGCAGGTCTGAGGACACTGGGACAGGTTGGTCACCTTTCCTTCTGCCTCTCTCTTGCTGTTCTCCACTAACCATCTGTCCATGGTTTATTGTGTTTGTACGATGTGCCAGGCCTATGCACATACTTTACCCATATTAGCTCAGGGAATGCTCAGAGCCCTAATAAGTGGGTACTAAGATCTCCGTTTCCCAAGAACCCAGGGCTTCAATTACATGACAATGGGCTGCTCAAAGAGTTAAGTATTTGAGTTAGAACTCAAACCCAGGGCTGCCAACTCCATGGTCCTCACCACTAGATCACCCTGCCTGCCTCCTTCAGTAACATGATTCACAGCACACTATGATGGGGTGACTCAGAAACGCTAAACCCCTTTGGGCCAGGAATGCCACTTCCCAGTTCTGCAGAATAGCTCCCGTTTCCATTGATCCCATTCCACTGCCTTTTATTTTGAGTTTGGGGCCCAGTCAATTAAAAAGAAAGGAATGAAGGCTCTGCAGATGACCTTCACCCAAAACCAGTAACAATGGCTTCTGAGCATACTGCAATGCTGAAACCCACAGGTAAATGAGAGAGGAATAAAGGGAGGCTGGACACAGTGGCTCACGCCTATAATCCCAGCACTTTGGGAGGCCGACATGAGTAGGAGGCGAAACTCCAGGTCAGAAGTTTGAGAACAGCCTGGACAACGTGGCAAAACCGCATCTCTACTAAAAATACAAAAATTAGCCAGGCGTGGTTGTGCACCTGTAGTCCCAGCTACTCGGGAGGCTGAGGCAGGAGAATTGCTTGAACCCAGGAGGCGGAGGTTGCAGTGAGCCGAGATTGCACCACTGCACTCCAGACTGGGCGACAGAGCAAGACTCCAGCTCAAAAAAAAAAAAAAAAAAAAAGCAATCTTACTGCTTGATTCTAGTCTCTCTGCATATCACATCTCCATGGTACAGAGAAGGGAATGGAGGCCAGAGAGGTGAACGCCAAGGCCATCTTCCCAGTACACAGCAAATCCGGTGTTAGAAGCCATGTCTGTTTACTCCAATGCCCATGCTTTTAGCATTTCATTCCATGCCGTGTGGGGAAGCCTGACTTCTTGTTGATTTAACAGCCCAATGTGGGTAAAGCGCCCCTAACAAATCCCAGAAGATTGTCTCGAGGTGGTGTTCGTGTTGTGCAAACAGCATTACACGTGTCCTGGGCTTTGTAGCACCGTTTCAAATATTGACGAGACCCATTAAAGAATTCTGAGAGAACAGGCTGCCTTAAGTGGAGCGGGTACTGAGTTCAGAATGCCTGGCGCAGTAATAAACGCCATGGCGCCCCGCCATTCCAGGCAGGGGCCACGTGGAAGTCAGCCTGCACGCCCCTGCGCACACACACCCCCACCCTCCGCCTACCTCCACCACCCACCCCTCTCCACGCGTGCCCACTGAGGTGTGAACCCCACTGTGCCCTGTGCATTTCTACGAAATGATATTTTATTAAATAAACAAACCGGAGCCGTTCCCGTAGATTTATGAACAGTTCCTCAAGTCTCACTTGTTCGACCCACGGCGGATTTACGGCCCCGCATTAACCTCGTGAGCGCTCATAACGTTTACTAAGATAATGTTGGCAGGAGGGAGAAGGGATTTTTACAGCCGAGTAATAATTAGGAAATGCAGGGAGGACTGAGAAACCTGTTTATTGGTGATGCCGGCTGCATGGACAACGATGGGATTGTACATTCCGTGCAGGTTTCCCGGGCGGAAATCAATTCCTTCCCCCTTGAGCTGCTTTGACCTCCGTGGCTTGTCTGAAATCTGCTTTCTACTTTTAGGGAATGTGTTATCGGCGTGGTCAGGCCTCAATCTCAAAACGAGAAGAGAGAGGGCAGCTGCCTGAGTGGACCCCTGGTGCAAACTTACTCGGCCTATTCAGAGAGTGGGACCCAAAGTCCACCTTTAGAACCTGGAGGGAGGAGATATCCCCTGGAAACAGGTCAGTTTCGGCAGGTGCATCATTCCTTCCTCCCCAGAGTGGGAGCAATGGGTTCTTCGGGCCCTTCTTGACAACGCGTTTGCTGGGGGAAAAGAGAGAAAGCGTTGTGGTACTGATGCTTAAGAGGCATTGAGGAAGAGGAAGCTTGCAAAACGGTCATACAACGGGAGCGGGGTGGCTTCCCAGCTCTTCGGGAAGCCGAGGCAGGCAGATCAGTTGAACTCAGGAGTTTGAGACCGGCGGCCTGCGCAACACAGCAAGATCTCATCTCTACAATTTATTTATTTATTTTAAATTAGCCAGGCATGGCGGTATGCGCCTGTGGTCCCAGCTACTGGGGAGTGTGAGGTGGTAGAATCACTTGAGCCTGGGAGGTCAAGGCCATGATCGCGTCACTGCACTCCGGCCTGGACGACAGAGTGAGACCCTGTCTTGAAAACGAAACTATGAGAGGCATAAACAATAAAGACATATCAGTAACAAGAACTACAAAAATCTGGCTGCATAGAGGAGCCACGGTAGCCAGGTGGCGGGGGTTGGGGGAGACTTAAAACGTAGGACCTAATCAATTAAAGCAGACGCTGGGGGATGGGGACGGGCACTGTGTTTTTACAGACTGCCCAATAATACTGACGCACAGAGAGGCTTAGACCAGCCAGTGGCCCCTGGCAAAGTTCCTGCTATTCATCTCTCAGACCCATCTTTCCTATCCGCATGGCCCGGCTTTCCTATCCGCATGGCCCGGCTGCTCACAAGGTGGGCTGCAGGCCAGCAATATGGGCCTCACCAGGGAGCTGGTTGGAATGCAGAATCTCAGACCCTGCGCCAGCCTTACGGAATCAGCACCAGCCTCTCAACACGATCCTCGGGGACTCACCTGAGCATTCAAACTTGAGAAGCATGGCAATGTGACATTTGACTCTCAGAAATGCTACCTCCCCCCAGAGGAAAGAAAAGAGCTGCTCCTTTGGCTTTCCCGTTTTACAGGCGGGAAAAAATAAGTCCAGGCTCAGGGAGGTTTAGCTACTTGCCTGAGATCACACAGATCCAGGCCCACGTCTCTCTGCTTCTCTGCACCTCACAGTCACGCAGACACTGCTGGGGGAAATCCAGGTACCGTGGCAGCTGCAAGGGAGGTGCTTGCGGGCTGGAGCTAAAAATGAGAGATGGAAGAGGGGCACCCTAGGGAAGGGGATCGGCGAGTACTTGTCAATTAGTCACCGGGCCGCCAGCAGCGGGCAGAGCGGGGCCCTGTCTAGGCGGCCACCACCTCCTCCCACTGCCTCTGCCCTCTCTGCCTTCTCCTTCCAGAACCTCCTTGAGATCTGAAACTCAAACAAGAGGGCATGAATAATGTAGCACGATTGCTCCTCTCGTCTCCCCTCAATCCTCAGAGGGTGAGGGAGGCTCCTTGTCTGCCTCATTAGTGGCCGTTCAACCATTTGATTTCAGTAAGAGTGTGCCTTCCTCGGAATTTTCATACCTATTTGCGTCACCGGAGTCAACACTGAATTTTTGAATCCACATGAAATTTTAATGGGGTGATCTGCATACAGCACGGTCCCGGCTGGGGCTCCAACGACAGCTAGGAGAGGGACAGCCTGCTCTGAAGATGGGCTGATCACAGAGACATGAGTGGGACCCTAGTCCACCCCCAGCTTGGAGCTCGGATTGGGGTACAGGGTGATAGGGAGGTCCCCAAGGGCTGAGACGGTACTGCCAGCTAAACTCTCCCTGCAGCCAAGATAAGCAGCTTCCAATTTCAGGTGAAGAGTTAAGGACTCCACTCTGCAGCCTATAAGCCCTGAGGTCAAAAATCCAGCTTTACCACTTCCTGGCTGTGTGACCTTGGGTAAACTGCTTGACCGCTCTGAGCCCGTTTGCTTATCTGTGAAATGGGGATTCTAACAGACTTGCTGTTACAGGGCTTAAATGAGGTAATCCATGTAAATCCTTTAGCCCAGTGTTTGGCAGTGTGATAGGCAATTAATGCTCGGTAGATATGATGATGATATCTAACGTTTAATAGAGATGGCCATGGTGACGAGGAGGGCAATGACAATGACAATGTTTTCCTCCATCTTTCACTCTACACACATGACCGGAACTGTGTAGTTTGCAAAACATATTCACATGTGTTTTTGTTTGTTTGTTTTTGTTTTTTTTTGTTTTTGTTTGTTTGTTTTGTTTTGTTTTTTTTCCAGTCTGTGCTTTGGATTTGGTAGCAGACTGATCTCAGTTGATCCCAGCTTTACCTCTTAGGAACTATAGGAGTTAGAAGAAGTAACTTCATCTCCTTGAGCCTCAGTTTTCTCGACTGTGTAATGGGGAGACCACACCCTACCCTGTAGAACTCTCATCAGGATTCAATAGGAAAATGTCTGTAAAATGCTTCTCCGGGTGCCTCCTGTGTATGGACACAGGAGGATGATCTTGATTCTAAGCACACGGTTTCGTTCACAATTTATATCTCTGGATTCAGACTCCATCTGCCATTTCAAGAGCATCTTAAATCCTTGAACTATGAGGATATTATCCATCCAGGGTATTTATTTGCCCAGTGCTTGCTCGTGGTCCAGGCATGTGCTGAAAGCTACATGGGAGCTGAAATCGTTCATGCAATCCTTGCAACAACACAGAAAGTCGGTGTTTTTTTCTAAATATGCTTTGAGGATGGGGAAATGGTGCCTCTGAGAGGTGGTGGGTCCCCTCTGGGGTTCTACAGCTGGTTGGCCTAACAGAATTCCTGCTCTTAGGAGCTGCATTCTCTAAGCTCTGTTCCATCTCCCCATCCCTCACTGAACAACTAATAAGAAGAAGGGCCAGAAAGATGGGGGGCGATTTGCCCAGAGTGGCATGGCCGGTAAGTGGCAGAACTGGGACTGGATCCCAAGTCCATAGGATCACGAATACTGAGCTCTTTCTGCTGGGACCCACCAGAGCTGGCAGGTGGGTGGGCAGCATGTTCCTTTTCTTACGTGGCTCTGGTGTAGGCTAGGACAACCTTGCCAGAGCCTGGACACCGGCTGTCATTCCCAGGTGTCTTGCAAGTATCTCCAAGCCTCACTTTCTTCTCCTATAAAACAAAAGAGGTGACAATGCCCACCTCTCAGAAGTGCTGTGAGGATTACATCAAGCGATGATAGAAATAGGTTCTGCCAGCCATGGAAGCACCCCAGATATGAGTGATTGCTGAGGACACAGAAAGGCAGGGGCCCTAGGAGCTGGGATGAGCCACACCATAGGACCCTGGCGCTGAAAAGAGCCACCAAGGAGTCTCCACCCCTTCTCAGCACTGCCCTTCCTCCTGTGGGATGCTCAGTGTGGAGATCCTCCCTCCCCACCTGACACAGAGATGGGAGTGAAATGAAACAGCCCCTTCCCCACCCGCTGCTGCCCAGGGTTTCTCACCTACTATAATGAAATGGAAGGAATTTCTGCTGAGAATGGTGATTACTAACCTGCCAAGATGAGTGAGAAAAATCAATTCAGAGAGTGCAGGAGAGAAGGGACTCTGCTGAATGGGGAGGTTAAGGGAGAGGAAAGAGGGTGGGAGGAACAGAAAGAGAGTGACCTGGGAGAAAAAGAGGGGAAAAGTGGTGGGGGGAGAGAGAAGGTGAGCTGCACATCTGTTCATCGAAGATGAACTTCAGGGAGATTTAGCCTCAATCCCTCTCTCACAATTTCTCTCTTCAGTGATTAGACAAGGACAGCGGAAAAGTGGGTTGCAGAGGCAAATGTGTGCCACACAGCAGAGATTCAGTAGGTCTGGGCTTTAGGCTTGCCAACGATTCTGCATTTCTAACCAGCTTCTGGGGATGCTGAGCTACTGGTCTGGGAACTTGACTGGGGGAATCAAGGCTGAGACGGAAACCACAAACTTCCCCATTGGCGAACCGATACCACAAATGTTTCCCAAGTGTGTGCCATGTGTTTTAAACCGGAGAGCCAACCACTTACTGAACACACAGTAGGCTTTGTTGAATGTTACCGGAGAGAAGTCTTTAGTCATGAATTCTTTTAGTGAGGTGAAGTTCACGTTACATAAAATTAACGACTTTAAAGTAACCAATAGCATCAGTTCGGCCATGCGCGGTGGCTCATGTCTGTAATCCCAGCACTGTGGGAGGCCGAGGCGGGCGGATCACGAGGTCAGGAGATCAAAAGCATCCTGGCTAACACGGTGAAACCCCAGTCTCTACTAAAAATCCAAAAAATTAGCCTGGTGTGATGGCACGCGACTATAGTTCCAGCTAGTCGGGAGGCTGAGGCAGGAGATCACTGGAGCCTAGGAGAGGCAGAGGTTGCAGTGAGCCGAGATCACGCCACTACACTTCAGCCTGGGTAACAGAGTGAGACTTCATCTCAAAATACATATAGCATGAGTTCATTCAGCATTGCACAACCCTAGCTCTATCTAGTTCTAAAACGTTTTCAGTAACCCCCAAAAGAACACCTCATACCATGAGTAGCCGTTCCGTTTTCACTCTTCCGCCCAGCCCCAGCAAGCACTAAGCTACTTTCTGTCCCTACGGATTCACCTAGTCTGGAGATTTCATATAAAGAGAATCATATCTAGTATGTGACCTTTTCTGTTGAGATTCTTTAGAGTCAGACATGTACCTGCGCATGAATATTCACAGCAGCAGTGTTGAAAATAGCCAAAAGGTGAAAATAGCTCAAATGCCCATTCGCAGATGAGTGGATAAGCAAAACGTGGTCTACAGTGGAATATTACTCAGCCATAACAAATGAGGTACGGATCCGTGCCGTGGCGTGGAAGGGCCCTGAAAGTGTTACACTAAGTAAATCATTTTTAAAATGCTGTTTCTTGCCCTCATGGCTGTCACCATGATCCTGATGACCTCTACTCAAGTGTGGTCACCTTTCATTCCAAACAAATGTCAGCTGAGCAGCCACAACGGGCAGGACACCGGACACTCCAGGAATGTACGTCAGGTAGACCACGACTGCCACTCTGGGTCCTTACTGACTTACTCCATGACCTTAGGAGAGTCCCTTCCCTTCTCCAAACCTCAGATTTCTCATCTGTAAAATGGGATTCCAGATTTCTCACCAGGTTGGCACAAGCGTTAGGTCAAGGTGAGGTCTCTGAGGAAGCCACAGAACTGGACAAGTGTCAGTAACTACTACGGATTGAATGTGTTCTCCCAAAAATCATATATTGAAATCCTTACCCCCAGCATGATGCTGATAGGAGATGGTACCTGTGGGGGTGATTAGGTCATGAGGGTGGAGCCCTCATGAATAGAATTAGTGCCCTCATTAAAGAAACCTCACGGAGCTTCCTAGCACCCTTTCCACCGTGTGAGGATACATACAGCAAGAAATTGGCAGTCTGCGACCTGGAAGAAAACCCCCATTAGAATCAACTCTGCTGCCCCTGATGTAGGATTTTCAGCCTCCAGAACTGTGAGAAATAAATTCCTGTTGTTTATGAGCCACCCAATCCATGCTACTTTGTTATAAGCAGCCCCGACAGACTGAGACAGTTACTGTCACTGGGGGTTGTACAAGGTGGGGACCTCAGAACCTGCCATCATCCTCAGAGTTTGGGAGTCAGAACCTGAATGTGTGGAAAGAGAATTGCAGTGCGAGGAGAAGACTGGACGGAGTGGGAATCCCAGAGACTGACTGCTGTTATGTAAAATCCACGCCCGTGGCCCACCAGGCACATCTAATCCAGCGCTGAACGCCTCGCAGACTTCGGCTGGACCCTAGAATTCATCCAGCCCAACTTCCTCATGTCGCACATGAGGAATCAGAGACTCTAAGGAGAGAAGCGATTTGCACACAGTCTATCAGAGAAATTTCCTTTCATTTGTTACTGACTTCCAGGGAAGACAGTGGATTGAACACTCCCCTCTAATATATTTCCTTCCCTAAAAGCGACTACTATGATTTAAAAGGATTTGTTTGAAAGGCGTGAACTCCTAAGGTCAAGGAGAATGGAGGAAGAGACAACAGTTATGAGGTCTGGAAACGGGAAAGTGAGTAGGCGATGGTGGTAACTGACTTAGCAGAACCAACGTGGCTAAGAAGCGGGGATGGCGAGAGACCAACCCAATCTGCACCTGTTCGCTATGGCATTCAATTATCTTTCATTTGTCAGCTTCTCTGTACAGGCCCAGGACAAAGATGAATGCGACTCTCCAGGCCATGCCGCCCAGTGGTGTGTGATCTTCTGGCGGCAACAGGGAAGCAAACAAGGCGATGTGGAGCCCTATAATGCGACATAGCGTTGGCCCTCCGCATTCTTGGATTCTGCATTCACGGATTCAACCAACCACACACTGAAAATAACCAGGGGAGGCTGGGCACGGTGGCTCACGCCTGTAATCCCAGCACTTTGGGAGCCCAAGGCAGGCAAATCATCAGATCAGAAGTTCGAGACCAGTCTGGCCAACATAGTGAAACCATGGCTCTACTAAGAATACTAAAAACTAGCTGGGTATGGTGGTGTGTGCCTGTGGTCCCCGCTACTTTGGAGGCTGAGGCAGGAGAATCACATGACCCGGGAGGCGGATGTTGCAGTGAGCCAAGATTGCGCCATTGCACTCCAGCCCAGGCAACAGTTCGAGACTCCGTCTCAAAAATAAAGAAAAAGAAAATAATCAGGGGGAAAAAACAGATGGTTGCTGGCCTGGTGCAGTAAATCATGCCTATAATCCCAGCACTATGGGAGGCTGGGCAGGGAGAAACACTTGAGGCCAGGAGTGGGAGACAAGCCTGACCTAACATAGTGAGACGTCTCTGTTAAAAAATATTGTTAAAAAAAAACACCTGGGAGCTTATTAGAAGAGTCAAAAAGCAATTCACCTGAATCTTATAAGGCAACACAATCTATCGGCCCTGATTTTTCTTTCTCTGTTATATTTAAGGATTCTCCTCACTTAACCTACTCAATGTAACATAAGAAATGTAGCATAAGGAGTATGTTCAGCCATGTACAGTGGCTCACACCTATAATCCCAGCACTTTGGGAGGCCAAGGCAGGAGAACTGCTTGAGCTCAGGGGTTTGAGATCAGCCTGGGCAACAAAGCAAGATCTTGACTCTCCGAAAAATTAAAAAGTAAGCTAGGTGTGGTGGTGCATGCTTACAGTTCTAGCAACTCAGGAGGCTGAGTGGGAGAGGCCCTTAAGCTCAGGGGGTGGAGGCTATAGTGAGCTATAATGGAGCCATTGCACTCTAGCTTGAGTGACAGAGAGAGACGCTGTCCAAAAAAAAAAAAAAAAAAGGATCATTGTATCTGAACTGAATATTTACAGACCTCTTTTCTTGTCCTTATTCCCTAAACAATAGAGTATAACAAGTATTTACATAGCATTTACATTGTATTAGGTATTATAAGTAATCCAGAAACGAGTTAAAGCATACAGGTGGATGGTGGAGGTTATATGCAAACATTATGTCATTTTGTATCCACGACTTGAGAATTCACAGATTTTGGTATCCACAGGGGTCCTGGATTCAATCCCTCACGGGTACCCAGGGATGACTGTGTATAAGGTTCCAAGAGGAAGCAACAAACTCTCTTTGGAGGGGGATGAAAGAGGAAAGGGTACAAGGGCAGAGAAGTCTGAGTTGTTTACTGTAAGAGGGACCAAGAAAGAGGAGGGGGCACTCCCAAGAACAGGAAGAGCCCACGGGAAGGCGAAGAGCGAAGGTATGAAACTTTCAGAGCATTCCAAGCCTCTTAGAGACACCCTCAGGTGCAGATCTTGAAGACCCCTCTAAGTCAGAACACAGGGGTACTCAGGAGCCATTGAAAGGTTTTGAGCAGTTCAGTGACAAGGTCCAGAAAGATCCCTCCGATGGGGGTTAAACGGAGGAGTCTTTAGAATTCCCACTTATGTTTCTTGTCCTTTCTCCATCCCTTCTTCCACAAGCTTTAACTGAGCACCTACTGTGCACCGCCCCATACTAGGTGCCTGAGACCAGGAGCTACGTATCCGTATATGAGTGCATGGCGTGATCAGTCGTGAGCAGCAGTAATTGGGCCCTGTCTGCATCTGCTGTCTCCTGTTGCTTGGAAAACACGTCCCAGTGAGCTTCAAATGTGCACCTGCTGGCCCTCACACTAGCATAAAAGTCTCTGAAAAAAAAATTGATTATATTCATTCTCTTAACCTCACCCCAACCCGAACATAAATCGTCTCTGTTTATAACACTTCTGGCATTTTGTGCATTTTGCCGAGTGACATAAAATGACAATAAATTTAGGCCCCACCAGCAGAAAAGTACCTAAAATGCCACATGTCACTAATATTGACAGGTTCTAAAAGTAAAACTTGGAAATGGTTCAGGCGACATAAATTAAAATAAAAATATATACTTTGTCCTTGAGAGAGAATCAGCTAAAATTAAACCTCGGTGTGGGTGGGATGTCCAGGAATAAGAAGGAGGGAAGCATCCGCTATGCCTTGTTCAGAGCAGAGTCCCAGACCGGAAGGCTGAGAAGGATCCAGAGAAAAGTCAAGCCAGGACCTTGATGGAAAAAAAGGACTGTTCTTAAAGCTGCACCACCCAATACGGTAGCCATGACCTTTCTGTGAGCATTTAAATATAAATCTAAATACAGTAATGGAAGGTCTTACAGGCTGGTGGACTGACAGCCCCATGGACACCATGTTAACCTCTGTGACCTGCATGGACACGCCAGATGAGTTTCTGGAAAATCTCAAGTAACTGCAAGACCACAAAGAGCGGAGGAAAGGATCGACCCCTGGGGTGTCTACTCAACTTTGAGACATTCTCTGTTGCTCCTTACTCTGTCCCCAATTGATAAGGCCATTGGACTTTGCAACCGACCTCGGTCAGCCTCATGACTCCACACCCAAAGACCCCCTCCCAGCTTGCAAACAAACACCCTAAACTGTAACTTCTGGAACTTTCCACTGCCCACCCCAAACCTATAAAACCAACTCCTATCCCACCGCCCTTCGCCGGCTCTCTTTTCCGACTCAGCCCGCCCGCACCCCATTGAATAAACAGCCATGTTGCTCACACAAAGTTGGGGGTATCTTCATTCAGCACTCATGTTTTAACAAATAAAAATTCAGCTTCTCAGTTGTGCTAACCACATCTCAAGTGCTCAGTAGCTACCCGAGGCTAGAGGTTACTGAGTTGGAGGGCAGATGAGAGATCACAGAAAGTTCTAGTGGACGGCTCTGTCTAGGAGCAGGAGACGGACGCCTCAGTCTCCTCTCCTTCCTCCCAGCCTCCTCTCCTCCACGTCTTCCTTTCTCCCTCTCTCTCTCTCTCTCTCTCTCTTTTCCTCACTCCTCTTCTCTCTCCCTCCTTCTCTGCTTTCTCTGCTCTCTTCTCTCCCTCCCCTCCCCTCTCTCACTTCCTCTCTCTCCTCTCTCTTTCTCCTCTTTCTTCTCTCTCTCTTCTCCCCTCTCCTCTTGTCTCTCTTTATTTTTTAAGTTTTACTCTAAGCCCGGGGGTGCACGTGCAGTTTTGTTATAGGGACGCCCGTGTCGTGGGGCTTTGTTGTACAGATTCTTTCACCACCAAGGTAGGAAGCCCCTACCCATGAGTTATTTCTCCCGATCCTCTCCCTCCTCCCATCCCCACCCTCTGCTAAGCCCCAGTGCATCTTGTTCCCCTCTATGGGTCCATGTGTTCTCATCATTTAGCTCCCACTTTAAGTAAGGATATGCAGTATTTCGTTTTCTATTCCTCTGTTAGTTTGCTGAGGCTAATGGCCTCCAGCTCCATCCACGTTTCTGCAAGGACAAGATCTTTTCTCATTCTTTCTTCTCCTCTCCTCTTTTCCCCTCGCTTCTCTCTTTCCCTTTCTCTCTTTCTCAGTGACTGCTTGCCCTCCCCCAACTGTCTTTTTCTTTCTCTTTGCCTCTTTCTCTCTTCCAATTCCCTTCCATTTTATATGCTTTTCTAAAACATACATACATTGAATTCAGAAGGCAGCCCAGGATTAGGAAACCAGCGGTCCAAAGCCTCCCTTGACCATTCTGCAGTTGTGAGGTTTCAGGCAAGTGACTCCAGCAGGCTCCTCATCCTCCAAACTGGTAATTACGGCCATTGAATTACATACATCACCTGTTCAGTGGCAAACAGTAGGTGCTCAGTGAACGCAACTTTCTTCTTTCTTCTCCTTGATCACACACCTTCAGAGGCTCACAAAAATCTACCAGAACCTTTTCGGCCTCTCAAGCTCAGAACTGCGGCCTCGCCATATTTTCCATCTTTCATCTCTGGCTTTAACCCACTCAATCTTCTTCCGTTCCCAACGTTCCATGCCCTTTCGGGCCAGCAGGTCTTCGCACATGCTGTGTGCCCAACCTGGGATGCCCCGTCCCCTTCTGCCTGCCTTAGCCTGCTTCCCTCAGTGGAGAATTCAGCCTGGAGGTCCCCACAGCCTCCTCATCCTCTGCAGCTACTAACACAGTACAGGCTGAAGAATCCAATAAAGAAAGAAGGTGTAGACAGAGACTCAGAGAAATCAGGGGGCTGGTCAGGCTCATTTCAGGCAGACTGGAACCTGGTCTCAAATCTCTGGCTGAGATGACATATTTCATTCATTCAGTCAACACTTATTGGACGCCTACTCTTTGCCTACTCCTGCCCCAGCTGGACGTAGAGATGCATCAAGTCAGTTCCTTTCTGGGGGAGTCACAGCCCAGTGGGGAAAGAGATTCTCCCCAGAGCAATTACTATACAGCCTGGTAAGTTCTGGAATGCAGGTGCATGAAGGCTCCCCGGCGGCAGAACAGGGGGCTAGCAGTCCCCTTACGGAGGCTATGGGGACTTCAGGAAATGCACCAGAAGCAGGGCATTCGGGGCAGCAGGAGGTGAGGTCGCCACAAAGCAGCCAGCTTTTGCGGTAGGGACACCCCAGGACGGGCGATGAGCCAGGAGCGGAGGAGGCCTGTGAGCCAAAGGAGTTCAGGACACGAGTTTCTCAGTGGACTGGGCTGAGCTAGGAAAAGGAAACCAGAAGGAAGCTAGCCAGGAGGGTGGACGGGCTGGACCCCCTCCACGGGGACTCACAGAGGTTGGCCACGGAGCCGGGACTCAACCTTGGGGCAGCCTGGAGTCCCGCAAAGGGTTAAAGCAAGGGAGGCCCGGGACCACAGAGGCAGTTTAGAAATCTCTGACTTGTTCTCACTCATAGGCGGGTGTTGAACAATGAGAACACATGGACACAGGGAGGGGAGCATCACACACTGGGGTCCGTTGGGGGGAAATCGGGGAGGGACGGGGGGGGGGTGGGAAGGTGGGAAGAGATAGCATGGGGAGAAATGACAGATACAGGTGAGGGGACGGAAGGCAGCAAACCACACTGCCGTGTGTGTACCTGTGCAACAATCTTGCATGTCCTTCACATGTACCCCAAAACGTAAAATGCAATTAAAAAAAAAAAAAGAAAAGAAATCTCTGACTGCTCTGGGCCGGCCCTATAGTGGGGTCAGCGTGGGTCCGGCCCCGAATGGAGGGGAAGGGGGCCGAGGTAAGGCAGGGGTGGCTCTGATGGAGACAGAGCAGGGGAGGGGAGGGGAGGGAGGAGCAGACGGAGGAGGACCCCCTCGGGCCTCGCCCTTCCCCCTTCGGCGGCGGCTGCCTGGGGCGCCTCGTCACTTCCCCCTCCCCAGCCCCTTCCCTCCCCACCCCCTCCCTGCCTTCTGGCTGCACAATTTGTGAGGAACATTATGTAAATGAGCTTTATGCAAATCCAGCATCTCCCTCCCGCTCGCTCGCTGGACTCCTGAACCCTAATTAACTTGCCAAAGCCTAATGTTGCCGTCCCCCCTGCACCGGCCCAGCCCCCCAGCCCGCTCCCCCCAACCGAGAAATCCATCTTCAGAAGCCAGCGCGGTCTCATCGCCGCCTCATTTGAATGTGCGGGCTGTCACCCACACCGTTAGCCGGCAGGAGAAGGCGGCCTTTCAGCCCCGACCCCGGTGCTTCCCATACAGCTCCAAAAGAAATACCTTTTTTTCTACAACCCCCACATCCCCTCCCGTCTTATTTTTGCTTGCTTCCGGACCCAGAAACGGCCTGGGGAAAGTTGGTGCAATTTCTCATTATCTTCAAGTCTTCTGTCCATCACTTAGCATCACCCTCCCCTCCCCGACCTCCACGTCGGGGATCGAATACCCTCTCCCCTCCCTCTCTCTCCGAATAGCCGCTCCGGAGAGGATGAGCGCGAGGCGCAGGTGCTCAGGCCTGTAACCTCAGCACTTTGGGAGGCCGAGGCTGGCCGATCACCTGAGGTTCAGGGGTTCAGACCAGCCTGGCCAACAAGGAGCAACCCTGTCTTTATTCAGACAAACAAACAGACACGCAGAAGGCTGAGGTGGGAGAACTGCTTGAACCCAGGAGAAGGAAGTTGCAGTAAGCCAAGATCTCGCCCGTTGCACTCCAACCTGAGGCGGGGAATAGGCTCTGTCTCAAAGAAAAGAAAAAAAGCAGCAGACATCGGTGTGTTTTGAAATCAGACCAGCAAGGATATATTCAACTCCTGCTCCCTGCAAGGCACTACTGTGTCCTTACCCTTAAATGAAGGTATATTTTTGACCTAGAAACGACTCCAGGAGCAACAGCTTCCTTGATTTTTTTTTTTTTTTTTTTTTTTTTTAAGACAGCGTCTAGCTCTGTCACCCAGGCTGGGGCGCAGTGGTATAATCATAGCTCGCTGCAACCTTGAATTCCTGAGCTCAAGCAATCCTCCAGCATCAGCCTCCACTACGGCTGCACATGTGCCACCATGCCCAGCTAATTTTTCAAACTTATTTTGTTGTAGAGACCTTTGTTTCCCAGGCTGCTATCAAATTCCTGGCCTCAGATAATCCTCCTGCTTTGGCTTCCTGAGTAGCTGGGACTACAAGCCTGTGCCACCACGCCTGGCTAATTTTTTTTTTTTTTTTTTTAATTTTATAGACATGGTGGTCTCACTGTGTTGCCGAGGCTGGTCTCAAACTCCTGGCCTCAAGCAATCTTCCTTGTCTGGGCCCCAAAGCGTTGGGATTATAGGCATGAGCCACCATGCCAGGTCCTTGATTTTCTTGTTGCTATTGAGACAGGCTCTCACTCTGTTGCCATGGCTGGAGTGCAGTGGGGCCATCTCGCCAGCTCTTGATTTTTTTTCTTTTTTGAAACAGAATCTCTTGTTCTCACTAACCTCTACCTCCCGGGTTCAAGTGATTCTCCTGCCTCTGCCTCCCGTGTAGCTGGGATTACAGGTATGCACCACCACGCCTGGCTAATTTTTGTATTTTCAGTAGAGACGGGGTTTCACTATGTTGGCCAAGCTGGTCTCGAACTCCTGACCTCAGGTGATTCTCCCACCTCAGCCTCCCAAAGTGTTGGGATTACAGGCGTGAGCCACCTCGCCCAGCCCAGCCCTTGATTTTAAAGACAGTTGAACCTACATTCAAGCACCGATGATGCATCCAAGATCACGCAGCAGGAATGGGCTGGAAGACAGCCTCCCAGTCCCCCACACAGCCTGGGCCTTGCTGCTGGGCATCCCTCGTTCCACAGAGCGCAGCCTAAAGGAGCTGAGCTGTTCTGGCAGCCTCATGCATGCTCCATTCGAGTGTAGAACAAAACAAAATAAAGGCTTTCCCTGGAAACAGGAAGAATTGTGTTGTCAGCCAGTTCCTGCTGCAGCAGTGAATCCCCTAGATACGGCTCCCAAAGCAGAGACGGGAGAGGGGGTGACTGCCTCTGGAACTCTACCAACAGAGTAGGCAAGGTGTCTAGGGCTCGGTGTTGTGAATGGGTTTTTGAAACATGCAAGACATAGGACGTTTGCTAGGGTGATAACAAGCCGGTCAGTCATTCATTTCTTCGTTCACTTATTCATCCATCATTTATTGAGGAAATACTTCTTGTCCGTAGTGCCTGGACCACGGTGAATCCCAAAATACATTTCTGCCCACAGAATCTGGTAACCCACTTGTCACTGGCTACAAGAGACCAAGATCACCATATGCAAACAGCCGTCTGACACCACGTCTTTGCTGATGGCCAAATCTCCTCCCTCCTCCCCCAGCAACCTGGCATCTGAATAAATAAAGGATCTGCATTTGGAAATCCCCAGCATCATCTTATTCCTTCATTTTCATTTCTGCAAAGAAGTGAGATATGCCTGTGCTCAGTCCTGAGACTGAGCAGTTTATCCTGGAGGAGAGAATTTAGAGTCAAATCTGTAAGCTTCAGCAAGGCACAAGTTTCAAAGCCTTTTTAATCTCATCTGTAAAAGGGGTATCATGCCATGCCTACCTCTCAGGGTGAACGGGGATTAAATGGGAAAAAATAGAAAATATCACCCTCTTTCTAAGATAAAAGCCTGTTCACAAAACCTCTATTGAAGCCATGGGTTTCTCATTGAGGTTTCAGAAACAAAGATAGAAAACCAGAATTCTTGTAAGTTTTTGGTGAGGATTTTGTTGTATCAGAGATGTCATCAAAGATGATTTTTAGACAGCACTTTGGTCCAGTACCTTCACCTCTCTGAGCCTCAATTGCTCCAGTGCTAAAATGGGAATAATAAAATTAGCTACCTCAAAGGGTCATAGGAAGGAATTAATTAGGGAGGTCTTAGTGCTGTATGAGTCACATAGCTACGGCTCTATGACTCTCAAAGAACATACACATAGATATACTTAATTATAGCAGAAAACGGGGAATTTGTCAAACATCAATTAATTAATTAAAAGTTAGTTTCCTAGTTTCTCTATTAAGAAAATAGAGACTCTTTTCTCTCCCTCAGGATGCACACAGGTTCTCAATTTCTTTTTTCCCAGACTTGTGAAGGGTGATTTAAACAGAAACGTTGGAGTATGTCCTTATTTCTATTTGGAAAAACAACAACAACAATAACAACAATTCATTTTAGTGATCACGGAAATTACACGAGTTTGCTTATTCCAATAGGAGACAGATCATTATCTCTGAGATTTAGCATTCAGTAAGCCTGTATATCCTGAGGTCCTGAACACGCAGCTTAAGTAAATAGAGGGTATGGTCTGACCACACCCTCTATGAATATACTTAAGGATATATTCATATATCCAATGCTAGGATCTACGTGGTATACTCTATCATTATTATAGAGCCTTCCCACAATGCCTTTCCATCCCCTCTGCTTTGAAATTAGCAGAGGGGATGAAAAGGCATTGTTATCATGCAGACAGTAGAATGGCAGCCACCACAGATGGTACTAGAGTTCTAGCTCATGAGCAACAATCGATCTTACATGGAAATGGTACTCAGTCAGGCCCATAGTGCAAATGGGCCATGCAAATGGAGCATTCCAGCTCCCATCAACCGGTAGCTGTGGCCTGAGGTACTGTGTTAAGAAGGATTCTGATGTCTTGTTTAAATCCAATGCCAAAGAGTGCCTGATTGATTAGTGATGTCTGCTATGGAACTAGGGAATGGTCAGTACATTGGCCGCCTCCTGCTTCCTAATCCCAATCTAATATAACCCCTGTGATAGTGAAAGTAACTGAAATTCAGAGAGGGGACTAGGGTCACACAGCTATTTAGTGGCAGAGCCAGAACTAGAATAAATATCTCCTGGCTTCATGGCCAGGTCTCTTTTCTCTCCATCAGGATGCACGAGGGTTCTTAATCGAGGCTCAGGGGTAACTGCGGAACAGTCAGAACATTTGGCATTTGTCACACTGTTTACCCACATATGGTTCCAAAGAAATTTACAGTGATTACACACCAGAAATACACATGTTAGAGAGAAATGTGCAAGTTAGGAGGGGATTAAAATAAAATAGAGAAGGTAACCAGGGCAAAGGGAAAATGAGAACAAAAAAATAGGATGGAACCAAGAATGAGTTGGGCGCACACCCAAACGCTGTCCGTATGCAGTTGCTAAGCAACTGGTGGCCAAAGCAAAGAAAGGAATCGGAATCTATGTGTTGAAAGGTGGAAAATAACAGTCAGTTCAAGAAGCAGATTTCCTTGGTATTCCCTTGGGAGCAATATCTCCTAGGTGCTCACACCAAAGCAGTTGTAATGGAGTCGAGGATGCTCCTCAAAAACTGGTCTCCAAGAAATCAAGCAATTTTGACACCATCGATTCTTGGAATGTCTTGCAGGGAGGTTGGTGCAAAAATGTCTAAGTGCAGTCCAAGAATTCAGAACTTTTGATGTCCAGGTGGCTGAAGTCAGAGTCCCTTGTTCATCTGACTTGACCTCTCATATTTGATACCACAGATGGCTTTACCTTGGTGGGTTTATGTTCTCTCCAAGGACACCACATGTTCTTGGGTTTCCTCGTATGTCAATGACATCTTCTGGATCTCCACTATTGGACGCTTCTCCTTTCCCCTGATGCCTAAATGTTGCAGACTCCGGGACTCAGCGGCAGGTGTTCCCTTGTACTTATCTCCCCTTGGCTCTTGGTGACCTCATGGCTTCAAACCAGCCTTAGGCTGATGCCTTCATATTTTCTTACTCCAGCCTGACCTCTCTCCCAAAACAGGTCAGACTCAAATATGCACCTGTTCCCCTGACCTCTTCATTTGGACACTAACGGCATCTCAAGCCTCACAAGCCCTCCCCAAAATCTGGACCCCATGCCACTCTTCCTCTAACCTGGTTCCACCTCCAGTCCTCCTCCTTTCGGGAACCAGCAGCATCACGGAAATAGGTGCTCCAGCTTAAAACGACTCAACCTTTGCTCAAACGACTCAACCTTCACTCCAACGACTCCGCCTTCGCTGAAAGGACTCAAACTTCGTTCCAATGACTCAGGCTTCACTGAAACGATTCAACCTTCACTCAAATGATTCAAACTTCGCTCAAACCACTCACGCTTCAATCCTCTCTCCTTGTCACGTCCAATGTCCAATTCATCAACAGGTCCTGGCAGCTCCACTCCAAAAATGAGTTCAAGTGCACTCATCTCTCCTCCTCTCTACCTCTTGGTCTCGGCCACCTTCCTTCTCCCACCTGGAT